ATAGACCGGCCTCCGATGCAGTGGAGACGCCGGAGAGATGCAAAGGGCCAGTCGGCCTGAAACAGGTGCTCCAGCAAAGCCTGCATCTGGACTAACAGCCCAGAGGATCACAATTAAAAACTCCAACAGTGACAGGCTAACCATCAGTCTGGATGGTTACTGCTGTCCTGATTTCCATATCAAAACCAGCTAGTGATGTCTGTCACCTCCGGGCTCCGCCCCCCAGGCCGCCTGGCTGGCTGGGCTCCATTAGGGCTTTTGAGCAGAATGTTCTCCCCGCCTTGCTGGGAAAGCCGTTTTCCCAGTGAAAGCGTTGTACAAGGAAGCAGGAGGTGAGGCTCAGCCCCTCCCTCCCCAACTCTGCTTGGCCCTGATAGGATGAGCACCAATACCATCCAGCGAATCAGATTTAACCCCCCCCCCCCCACTGACTTCCCAGCCCCGCACTGCACTCTCATTACACAGGCAGGCAAAGCCCGACGGACGCTTGCCAATATTTCATCATACCTGCGTGCTTCAAAAAGGGAGGGTTCACTGACTTTCACAAGCTTAAGATGGCCGGTTTGTGCCATATATCGCTGCCAAGTGAGCAAGGGAACCAGCAGAACCAGCCCAGCACAACCCTAAGCCCCTGGCCAGTATTCCCGCTTCTGCAGGCATGAGCACCGCTGTGCACGTCCAACCCCCTCAAAGCAGGTTTGCCCCCCCAACCACAGTCCCTCTCTACAAGTGGTCCGTATTCAGAAAAAAAAAAAATCAACATTTCAATGCATACAGAAATAAAACAGGCATGAACAACACTTATAACAGTACCACCTATATGACTTAAATGATCTTAAATAGTACATTGGGAACCAATGCAGTTTTTTGCACACTAACTGATTCAACAAAACTGAAACATCTTTAAACTGACACCTATGCCATGATCAGCAACCTAGACCTGCAATCAGTATCGATAGTATGTGAACATGCTTCTGTTTCATTTGATAAAAACAAAACCTGAAGGGTTATTACAGACAAACCTGAACACAATTAGCAATGTAACTGAGCAATTATGATCATCTGGAAGACTTCGTCTGCAAAACATGGGAAGAACCGAAGCATTGAGCGGTGATTCTAATTTAAGGCTGGAAGCTGCTTTGACAAGCATGAAACCCCAAACCGCTAATGAACAGCAGTGGGGCCTCTGGCAAACTCGGGCCACGCCCATCCCCTGCTCCTGGGACCGGAGGAGAGAGCTCCCCGAGCCGACAATTACATCATCACCTTATTCAAAAGCCTTTTGTCATTCAGATTTTCCACCCAGCACCACCTGCACTCGCGGTCACCGGCAGGTAACCCATAGAGGCAAGTGTGTACTGATTCTCAGACTCACAAACACCCCGCACCCCACACCCAATGCTCACTGGTCAGTGCAAGAGTTTTTTCCTTTGTCATTCTTGGATGTCATTCATCCCCAGGAGACACACACACACACACACACACACACACACATACACATATACAGACGTGCACAAACAAAAAGAAATCCTCTTATCCACCTCCAACGCCTACTATGGTGTGGGAGTCTGTTGCCAATTAAAAGCTTCAAAATCGTCATGACTGTTTGCTTAATGGAGTGAGATTCACAGCAGGACTGGAGACCGCGAGACATGTGACGTGTCCTTTCCCAGCATCCTCCAGGAACATGAGCAGTTTGCTCTATTAACCTTGGCAGCCATCCGTGCCACACTCGATTTCTCAGTACAAAATCGGAGCACTTCAAACGAGCTTGTCGAAGTGGCGTCATTAATGCTGACGCATCTCGAAAAAACGCGAAACGCGCTGTGGCACTCTCAAAATGCAAAAACCCCATTCGGAAGCCGACCTGCATGTATACTTCATTATACCTTATTCACATTTGGTTGATCATTTAAAGAACACATTTCTGAGCATCCAAAGGCTACCAAAATCAGACCATGCAGTGGAGGGCAAAAAGAACAAATTGGCATTTATACAAAATGGAAGAAAAAAAAAATCACCAAATTATCAATTTGACTTGGTCCACATATACAGGAGACTTCTGAAGTCATTTATGAGCTAGTGAAGAGGAAAAAAATGTTTAATACACCATGTACATTACTGGGGATAAGATCACATGGAGGTCTGTATTTTCTAAAAAAAAAAAAAACTTGACTTTTTTTTCAGCAAAGATGTTGCTGCATCCAAATCAGACGTTCAATATTTAAGCCTTTTAAAACCATCACTGTGCTTCTGAGAAGCAGAATATGAATCTGCAGACCACAAACGGAGGAAACCTGATATCTCATCTGCACACTTTTCATTCTGAACTACTGCAGGTTTCTGGTTAAATCTGTTTTTAGGCTTTAATTAAACTCTCAGTCCTCAATCCTGCTTCTAGAAGCTTGTTATGAATTGTCCTAGCAGTGCACTTCACACCACTTAATGTTTCCTGTTCCTTTTGAAGGTCACTTGAGGTCATCCCCTGATTAATGAGACACTGTCAGATAAGTTGACGGTCATCTCTGGCATTAGAAAGTTGCTTCTGCCCTCTACCTATCTGGTATCTGGTTATTGCCAGTGTCTCCTGCTTCACCTTGTTCTTGTGTACTGCTGTCTTAGAAACTTTAAGCCTGGAAGCAGCCTGTCTCGCAGTGTAGCCTTCTGCCAGCAGAACCAGGATTAAACCAGGATTTATAAATGCAGATTTAAAAAATATATAGAGTAGTCTCTTAATTTTTTCCAGAGCTGTGTAATGTCACCAACTATGGGGTGTCTTGTAAAACAGACAGTTCCTACTTTATTGAAATTATGCTGAAAGTTAGACGTTGATCATAATCGTGATTTATGATGCGTATTGTAAGAAGCGGGGAAATGCAGTCATGCAATATCGCTGTAGAAAAGGTGCGCCTTTAAATTAGCGGGGCATCTGCCGAGACGCGCATCGGCTCGCAAAACCGCTCCGAGATCAGTGACGGCAGCCGCTGCCGTGCGCGTTTCTCGGCTGCCTGGGCATGACGTAAGGAGGTGTAAGTGACTCAGCCTCACCGACTTAGACCGGTGTTATTTACATCTGCGGGAAGACGCCGGCTAAACCTTTCGGAGAAGCATGAATAAGAAAACGCTTTACTGGTCCCCAGGTTACCCACCCAAATACGTCCTATTGTTCAGCCTTTCCGATGTACTCATCAGAAAGCAAATCCATAGTGATTTCATAAATTTAATTCCCTCGTTGGTGTAAACTGTGGTTCATCTTATCCAAGCCAGTCTTTTTAGACCTAGTTAGCCAGGCAGAATCTTTTCCGGATGCATGCAAAAAGGGTACAAAATATACCCGTTTACCAATTTACGGTGACATAATGTTTGCTACCATCATTCCTGTACTAACTCTTTGAACGCCAAAGCTAATAAACAAGCAAAAATAGCGCTACAGGTTTAAAACAAAGATACACGATTAGCTGGTTAAACGCTTAAGAATGCAGCTATAGCGCTAATCAGTGTTAAATTTCGTCATACAAATGTAGAAATTCGAGGCATCTCAAATTATAGACTAAGGTCCCTATGACTCCGAATAACCATGATACCCTTGAAAAAATGGAAAAAGAAGGCAGCGTCTGACATCTCTTCATGAGTGAGATGCAGTTACCGTTATGATTTGTACTTACACTTTTGTTGTCGTCAATATCTGCATTAAAGACAATGCATATGACACGAGTATTGGTCATTTCGCACCGTTGATTAATAGTTGTTGTTAATAATAAAAAAAATGTTTTTTTTATTATTTAAAAAAAATAGCTGAGCGAAGCAGCTGCCATAGTACGGAAAGTGAAAGGGGACAAACAGAATACCATTTAAAAAACGTAGTACCACATACCTCGCCGAAATGGAGCATCACTGTTTATATGTGTTTTTACGGTTGTAATCGAGGTCATTATTCTTCCCCAAGATTTATGTCCTTGTTATGAGAACAGAGCAGAAAAGATCTGGAGGCATCTTATTAGAATTAAATTAAATGATAAATGTAATGTTAAAAAAATATCGCGAATTATCCGTGGTTCAACACATGATGGCACTGTTTTTGAAGAGCCTGTGTAGGTGGCCTATACTTAAAAGACGCGGAGAAGTACTTTATTTTATTTAAATAACGGTCAATGTAAGGAAGTATAGAAGGAAACATACACATAGATTGAATGTGGAATCTTTGTCAATTTCGGTAATGGTGTTCAGTTCTATTTGTCTTTCCTGAAACTCTCGCATTATTGCACTTAGGAGGAAAAATGTTAATAAGCACAGTGGATCGGCTGAAGGACAGGAAGAAGGTTGGACCTGCTTCGTAAGCAAAGGTTCAGCACCTACAAGCAAATCAGAATTAGACATGGACTCCATTCCACTGCTGCAAGTTTGCTGCAATGAAAAACCTGAATCATCGCGCTTTTTGTTGGCATAGCGCATAACAAATGTTTCTTTTAATAATTCATTTTTTTCAATTAATGAGATAACTAGAATTCTATTCAATAGGTTATTCTTTCATTTTTAAGTAATACTGAGAAATCCTGGACATTAAGTGTTTTTATGGATATTAAATATAAGTGCCAGTTATGTTCTTATCTCTCCTTTTCAGTTTGCATCAGCAAATCTGGATTTGGGAAGGACAACATTTCTGAGCTCTTGCAAAGTTGACACCCTTTAAGTAGTAGTGAGCAAATGTGATATAACTCTGAATATGTCCTATACTGTTGATTTGGTCATTCTGACTGACAGCTATTTTCAGCATGTTCACATCTAACCCCCTGCTGCATCTTCTGGTACATTAAGATTTATGAAGGAGGGGTCTGAAACCTTATCTGTATAAATATGAAGCAAATCAGCAAGAGTGCTATTTCCCCTAAAGAAATTCATTCTCCGTAATTTCAGACACATTAAAAAAGAACTATTAAAAACAATGAAGAGACGAAACAAACTGCATATTGTTTATCCAAAAAATGACCTTAAGAGTGGAGTCAAATTGAAACAGAGTGTTTATGGGTAACAGATTTATAACGCTACTTTAAAAATACATGTGTACATATTATTATTGTTAACATTTTAATAATTAAAAAAATCTCATGGAATCTGTCATGATACTATGAAATCAATAAGACTGATGGATTCCAGATCACAGACTTTTTTTTAACAATTTATAGACGTCACGCATGTTATAGTATTAATGCACTTAATTTCAGCATATTCAAGTCAGTTAAGTTAATACACATTAACAGACATCATACAGGCCCTTGAAATAGCTCCCCCTAATGTAACATCAGGAAAAGAAACCCTTCCAACTATTTTAAGAAATTATGTGCGATTCTACAGCAAACTCGAACCTGTTACATTTTTAAATTAATTTACTATATTACTCAGTTCAGCACATGCATCCGTGAATGCGCTGACGGATGGACCCAAAGCAGCAAAAGATGCCTAGTACAAATATATTAAAGGGACGTGATTTAATTTCGGCACAAGAGTCCAGTGGCACCAAGTGCACCGTCTCTTTCCTGTAATGTATTAATTCAATAAACTTTAGCAATCGGCGCAGCATGATAATCCGCCTCGATTTTCTCAGCTTCTTCAAAGAAACTTCATAGATCGCACAGCCTAATTTCGATTGCTTCAGGGAAATTCCACCAGAACGAACAGGAAATATAGTGCTTCAGTGTCCCCAGGCTCCGATACCGATCTCTTGCTTGTACCTGTTGGTAAGAGTGTTAGCCTTTCGGGTCAGTTTAGATAAAACTGTATGCAGGCCGTTCAGATGGAAGTGAAAGAGTTTCTCCAGGTCTTCATCTTCACCGTCCGTTTCGATTCTCGATAAGTCAAGGCCGGCTATGCCTACTTTTTCCTTTCTTCTCTCGTCCATCTGTAGGACTCCCCATTCGATGTCATTTCTGATGGATTTCAGCAGAACGTAGTTACTGTACATGTCACTGCTGCATAAATACGCTGCCGATCCGCTGCCAGCCGACCTGATGGGGCTGATGCTCTTTTCGTTTTCCAACGGCACGTCCCTCAAAAGGCTCGGAACCATAACAGTCTGGTCCATGTTATTCACAGCGCTAATAAACCGGTTCATGGCATTAAAGAGGGAATTCTTCTGATTGTGCGAATCGGAGATCTGCATCATCTTGCCTGAAGCACGGAAGGCACTGCAATATGCTCTTGGAAACCGATGTGTCAGGAGATCGACTGCTGAGAATTTGAGGACAAGGTGCAGGATCACAGACAGCTACAGCAAATCACCTATTCTCTTAATATTGCGTACGGGAAACGCGACAAAGGTGACGATCTTGCAGTCGTTTTCTAAACGTGATTGTTCCTGAAGAAACCGGGTGCTGGAGTCTGCGAGTCTTCAAAAAATATGGATCTTCTCGATTTTGCTGTACAGTGTAAAATAGGATTTGTTGCCTTCGACCACTGCTCTCTGCTCCGCGATCTTGTCAGCTTCTCTTATCAGCTCTTGTAAAAAGAGCCGGTTTTAATGCAGAAGGGCGTTTCCAGGACCTGCCGACCGACATTAACATCCACCCAAAGTTGTAACAGGATCCCAAATGCCTACAATAAGACATGAAAAAAGGCAATGCTACAAACCTCGCATACAACATATTATTAACGTAGGCCTATTTGTTAGCGTATAACAATGGACGTTAGATCGCAGTTTGCTAATCTCCAGCCAGCATTAAGGTGTGACTTACAGCTACCGTAAAGCACACCCTACAAAAAGAAATCCAGCGACATTATGTGGGTGGCTAAAGATAATGCTGTAAAATTACATTACGATATGTATACATTCTATTGATATTAATATCCTATTAAAGTTCACATGAATTTTGCACTGTACATCGTAAAATCTTACATTTCATTTACGATTACAAAAAAACATTCATATCCACACACGAACATATATGGTTAAATAATCATCTTACGACTCGGTAACTGGTCTTGTACTCCACCACAGACTGATTTTCCAGCTACAAAGTTGCAAAAAACGAACAACTGGCTAATTTGTATCAGAGAGATACGGACGGTCTATCCGAGACGACGGAGTGCAGAACGAAGCGCGGCTCTTTCAATATTCATGAGTAAATGCATCAGCCCACGGCTGTACCCCCGGGTTCAGCCAATCAAAATCTTTTCCGGCTTCTCGAGCGCTAGGCTTGACTATTCATCGTCCAATCAAACCGAGGAGTGGGGCGGCTGGGTCCCTTCCAAGACAGACGGCCCACGACGGGCGGGGTTACCGGGCGCGGTCTAACATCGGCTCGTCCAACCCGACGCGGAGCGGCATTGTAACTCGATAAGGGAAGTGGCGTCTCTGGGTGTCGAGTCCTCGTTTCACCTTTCAGTATGAGTCATTCATGCTTTTACTGTTAAACTCTAAACATTCCAAATAAACGATATATAATTTTGATCAAGAGTAATGAGCTGTCAGCTACAGCCGTACCCAAGTGATGGCTATGTAACACTTTTATTAATTCGTTTGTATGCATAGTTAATGGAAAATAGGGTGGAATGTCAGGGAAGAGGGTAGCACGGTGCTCTCACCCCTCTGAATCCGCGGGTTTGAAATCTTCAGTGCAGTCTTAATGGACCTTGCATGTTCTCCCCATTTTGTATGTGTTCACTCCAGAAAAGTCCGGTTTCTTTCTGCAGTACAATGACATGCAGTTTGGTGAACTGGCAGCTGGAAATTGCGATTGGGTGTGTGTGCCCTGCAATGGACTGTCATACTGTCCTGGGTGTTCCTGGTCTTTGTGGCCTTTGCTGCATTGGATAAGTTCCAACCTCCCTGATCCTGAACCGCGCAAACAGTTAGATAGATGGATAGAATATTTATGAGACAAATGTCAGTATTCTGGTCCTTTTGTTTTGTGACAAGTGCACTGGCAAAGAGGTTTTTATTGACATATATAATTATAACTTATAAAACAGGAATCACAGCAACTAAATTGATTGTATCCATAATATACCAAACAGTATAAGATTAAATGTTTCTCTGTTGGGGGCATGGATATGTCAACTGTAATTATGCTTTTGAACACAATGACTTTAAAAAAGCTTTGTGAGGTTCTTCAAAGAGTAATAAAATTATAAATATCAAGGAAGTACATGAAGACCCCACACACACATGCACAGAACCAGAGCCGCTATCACAATCACAGTCCTGGAGCTGTGTGGTCAAATTCCTATCTTCTGAGCTGATATTCATTTATAGCAATGCAATGGGTATTATATACTCTCCTGCAACTCCAGAGCTAAACCTGTAGAATTGACTCAGATGTGGATTAAATGAAGGCTCTTTCAAAGCAACTGACAAATTACTATGAAAAACTTAAACGTGTCACAGTCTCGTGTGGATCTGACACGAGGGCGTGGCATGGCGCAGGCGGGGAAAAGAATGTGGATGATCCACTGGCGGCTACAGCTAACATAAGCTGTTTATTAAGCGAAGCAGAAGACATTAGGAAACACTAAAGCAAACAGACCACGAGGGGTAAATAACAAAGAGGAAAAAACAACAAAATTAACTAGAAAAAGTCAAGGGAACTAGGAGCAGGCAGGGAACAAAGTACAAAAATGAAACACAGGGAATGAAATACTAACATTTTAGAAAACCAACTGAAATACACATTCAGATTCTGACCTTCAGACATTCAATGACCCAACAAGGAACTTGCAAAGTAGTAAAGATGCCCCAATGTTCTTGGTTGATCATTTGGATACAGACTGTGTTAGCAAGTTATGATCAAGGGGGAAGTCAGGGAGAGAACGGGGGTTCCAGTTGGCACCACTAGGGTGATGAGGAAGATAATTGCATCACAATGATCAGAAAGTCTCCCTCCTGCCCTGTCCCTCCCTGCCCCAGGCCCTTCACAGGCCAGGGGGTCACTCTTTATATGCAAATTCACTCACAAACACCTACACACAGAACATTGTTGGGGTGGGTATTTTGAGGTATAAAGGGGGGTGAAGAACTGGACTTAATTTGTCTTTCAGCTGCCTTTCAATACTCAGTGTATGTCTACACTGTATTACATTATATTATTTTTACTGTTCAATAAACCACCGTTTTGCAAAAACAAGATTCTGCAAGTGGATTCCTTACAAACTAAACTAAGACAGTAATATAGACACACAAAACCAAACCGGGTGATGACACAAGGAGTGACACATGAAACAATCCACCAATCAGGGAGGGTGCAGAATAATGAGTAATCAGGAAAAACACAAGGATCGGCACAAGAACAGGCAACAGGTGAAACTAATAATTAACTCAAGGAACTCTAACAGAGAAACTAAGAAACAGAATCTACACTAGGGGAATAACAGAGTTAAAACACAACCACGGGCACAAAGCATGAAACCAAAACCAAATACAAATCACAAGACATAGGAACTAGAAAACTCATACAAATGAAACACTAGGGAACAAAATCTACAAAATCTGGAGGAGGCAGGATTTGAGCACACAAGCGAGGGGTTGACAGGTAGCTGCATGCAGCCATGAGGGAAGCAGGGGAAAGACAGGATGGCCAGTGACACCTGCTGGCCAAATGGGGAGAAGACACAAACAACTGGGACAAACAGGTGCTGACCCTGACATTACTGTCTATATTACTAATGCACAATATCCATCCATTTTCCAAACCACTTATCCTTCTGCATGAGGCAGGGAACGACTCAGGACAGGGGGCCAGCCCATAACAGGGCACACTCACACACCATTCACACCTATGAGCAATTTAATAACTCCAGTTCCATGTCTTTGGAGGGAAACCAGAGTACCTGGAGGAAACCCCACAACGACATGGGGAGAACATGCAAACTCCACACACATGTAATCAAGGTGAAAGCTTGAACCCAGGTCCCAGAGGTGTGAGGCAACAGTGCAAACCACTGCACCACCATGCCGCCCCTAAGGCACCAAATGTTACATATAATATAAAAATGGACAAATGCACTTATCCTCAAGATTACAACACAATCCACCTTCCATATCCTTCAAAGGACATCGGACCTCATTTTGGCAGCCTTCCAGGTAGATGGTTAGCATTGTACTACACTCAGTCTTAAATCTGTGTCCATGGCCTCATTACTTAAACATAATACTTCTCTCCTGGTTGCACACTATGCCTGCGTGACCTCTTCCGGTCTCCACTTAATTTTGCGTCCAGCCTACCAGTTCTTCAAGAAGCTGCCAACTGGTTACTTTCAGCAATGTCTCCCAGTTAATCTCCCAGTTAGCCAGATAACTTAAGCCAAACGTAAAAACCATTCAATAGGATGAAAGAGAAGTCACATTTATATTGAACATTGCTGATATTTGGCATAAGTTATCTAGCTAATGGAAAAAATCCTGCTTTGGGGAATATGCCTAAGAATGCCAGCAGGGCTGCAGCCAAGACTTGTGCAATACTGAGGTTAAAAGTGTAGCCCTTCTTAGGTGTGCCCCATAACAGGACGTAGTGATTGGAGATGCAGAATAAATACTGAGGACTTGACCTCGGTGTCCTCAATGATAGGTACAGGCATGAGTACCAGTGATTTCTGGGTTACTGTTATAGGCCAAATATCAAGCACCAAGGGATCCTTAAAGTAATTCCCAAAGCACCCACTCTCACAGAACTACTGCTGCATCACTGTTACCCTTGGCTTCCTTGGGTAGGCTCCCGGCTGACCGTGACCGTGTGCTGAAGCTGAGGAAGACTGATGAATGGATCTACGCACATACATTTCTCCAGACATGAAATGGATTCTTGGGCTCTTCACTCAATGAATTAACATGAGTGTCATTGGAATGCAGCACGTACAGGATGCTGGTGGTACATATGAACATGACTATTTTCATGGCCAGGAAACAGAGTACAGTTAATCCATGTTTGACTTTCACAGTCAAAAGAACCCAAGGCAGAGCATCCAGAACTGGGCTATGAATTCAGATGTTTTCTACCTGATGGCCCCAGAGACTTCCAGAGCACACACTGCAAAAAATGGGGCTGTGACTGAATGGGTGACTCCAGGACGAGGTCACAAAAAGCAGATTCAAGGGCAAAAACAAACAAAGAAACAAAGAAATAATACTGTAAAACCAGGAACAGGAACCTGGACACGAGAATCAGAGGGGTGTATGAAGTGGGTTTACTGGCTTAGCGAGGTTTCTTCTGGCTTACTTCCGAGTTTTGGGTACTATGAATCATAGCTCACTTTTAAACTCGGTGTATTGCCATGGTAATTTACGTTGCACGCCTAACCTGCACCGTCAGAAAAAGGGCACAGCCTCTGTACAGTTTTTTTTCCCCAAGGTACAAACAACATTTTGTTCTCCAAAGGTACAAAAAATGTTCCCAAGTTCATTTCTGTGTCTTATTAAGTACATTTACCTACAGCTAGGGTACAATTGGCCCTTGAGGGTACAGCCCCAGTGACAAATAACTGTACTGTCAAAGGTACAAATTGGTCCTTTGTTTTCTGATAGCCTGCTCCTGGCTGCAGGCTTTTGGATTCAAACAGCCATAAGTCCCACCCTTTGACCAAATAATAGGGGTGGGTGAAACCACTGATTATCTTTTTCATCTGATATGAATGAAATTAAATGTTTTTATCTCAGTCATGAAATCTGATACCAGCTTCTTCATGGCCGCGTGCCTGGGCAGGATTAAATTTACCAGGGGGCCGGGGTGTTGAGCTATACGTTTTGCGGAGTGGGTGGGTATTACCTACCTCCTACCTATTGGGGGGGCTTGTAGTTTGCATCTTTACAATACCGACACCGCCCCTTTTATGTGACCACGGATGATAACCACCAGAGATGTGCGGCAAGGGGCTGGGGGTGTCTGAACACCTGTCCGTGCCTGATCCAATGAAAGTGCCCCCATTGGCATGTAAAACACCCTTTGTAGTACAACCCTCAGCTGCCGCACTCCAGCAGACCAAGACTCCGAACACAGAAACAAGATGCCTGCATTTAGAGAACCTGAACCTAAACCCAAACCTAAAGTTAGGCACTGAATCAAAGCAAGAACTAAGTCTCACTCTCAAAGCAAAAGCAATGACAGCAAGTTAGTTGGCATCCAAGGCGATTCTCTC